TCGTAAGGACCCCAGTCGAAGGAATGCTTCAGCAAATATTGTGCCACATACATGGCTTTGTTTTCACGTAATTTCAAACGTGATCCATTCGACTTTCCGATGATCTCTTTCATCTTCTCGTACAACCTTCGAACTTCATCGGTGAAGTTCTTGATAGCACTCGGACTTGGATCATAAGGTCGATAATGTTTCGTAATCTCATCGAAAGTCACCTCCCTTTTCGACCCTATCTTCTCCGGCATTAGTTCATAGTGTTTATGGAAAAGTTCTTCGAGGTATACATTCAAACCAATGCGTTTGGCTTCTTCAGAGTAGCTACAACCAGCACGAAGACCGTTGGTCTTTGGATCGTCTCTTTTATCACCACTAGTCAATAAAATCACGAGAACAATAACCAATGCTAACAGGAGGAGTATTGGCAAGGCCACAAGAGCAATCTTAACGAGGCAAGATTTAGAATTTGAGGCGCGTTGTTTCTCTTTTCCAGTCTTGTGCGGCAAAAACGCGACTGTGGACACTAGGGATCCCGGCATGCCATTCTCTGAGGACGACGTGGATTTGCTTCGGTTTGAAGTCATCTAAATGGAAAGAAGACACTGCGCTTAGGCGTTTAACCCATTCATTCCTACGATATCCTTACTAATCCTCCTAAATGTTTTCCATACAATAGTATGATGATAGCTCGAAGACTTCGTTCTTGGATCAACTAATAATCCCCTTATTGATATTTTTCTTTATTTTCATCACTTTTCTGCTTGATATTGTATTGACATTGTAAGGAGAAATGGTGAATTGGTTACTAATAGGAGTTTAATCGTGAAGAACCATTTTCAACTAAGTAACCAAGTAAACCAGAACTGCATTTTTCTAAAAAAAAAAAAACTCGCAGCACCTTTTCAACCAATTAGATGCACAGATAAAAATAGGTTAGAAGTAATCACACTTTCCCCCGATCGAGGCCGTTTACATGATTATACTCAAATCCTCATCGGGTCCCTCTGACACTGATTATTTTTTGTGTGAAGTAACCGCTATTATTACTTTGATTTTAGTTTACAACGCGGAAGCCACGCGGAAATGAAAATGTCTTCGTAGTGTCATGAGTAACTCTCCTTTCAAGAGAGAGATAAGAGCAAATGATTTTGAAACGAAACATAAGTAATATTGGCAATATCGTCACTTTCCCGGGCATTGTGGCGCATTTTGCGGGCTAACGTGGAGATTTTGGCGGGCTAAAAAGTATTTAGCCAGCTTGCATGCCCGCGTGATTGTTCATATTGTTCTGTTGAGTTTTTATCCTCTCATTGCTATCCAAATTGATAATAATTAATAATAGTAGTACGGCTTATTTTCTTGGGCATAGATATGAATGAGTTGCGCCCTCCTTAGAGTTATTTGACCCTCCGCTGGTGGCTCGGGCTAAAATGACTCTGAGCCCCGGCGGGGCCCAAATTACGTTTCTGCCCGCGAACGTTTTATAGCCTAATTTCATTCTTTGTTAACAAAGCAAAAATTTCTGAAGTTTCAAATTTATACACAAAAAATAATAAAAAACTCTGATACCATCGATACCTTCATACCAGATTTCTGTCATCTTGCAGATTGCCGTGCAAGCTGCCGGCACGAATAATGCGCTCACCAGCAATAATAGTAACCCGCCAACATTTGGTAGATAAACGATTTGGCAGAATAAAAATTCTCAGCTTGTATAAACATCTGAGAATAAAAATATCGGCAAATGTAACATTGTAAGCAAAATTCAATTTTCTTCTTTCCCTGAGGGTCTATTAGATGATAGAAATCCCCGTCTAATATGAGGCACCCAAAAATTCTATTACATGAGTGCGGAATTACGCAAATGAAATCCCAAAAGAACCGCAATGCACAAATTTGATTTTTATCACAACAAATTTCATTTCCAGTTCTGCTAATCATCTCCTAGATCAGCTTAGTTAACTCGTTCTGATCTGATCTGCTACTTTCAAGCAAAGTTCCTCGAAAAACAAAAGGCATATCTGCATTTTTACCAACACTTGTGATTAAAATTACATCACGTCTCTGTCAAGGTGTTCGTACGGAACCCATTTCGTTCCGGAATAGATTCCATGTGTGAGACGAATGGGTTTGTTATTGCGCTGTTTGTTTACAGTTTCTTTCAGACAGGGTTACAAAATTTTGGTCTTCGTTTCCCACAAAATATTTTCGCTTAAATTAAATCATAAACATATACCGGTATTGTAGATTCATTTACAGAATTCAGAGAATTTTTCATGTACGAGTTTAGAACAATGCCTAATAAATTGCTATCGGTTCTTTTCAACGTTGATCCGGAATTTGTAAGTGATGCCCCGAAATAACTTTGTATCAAGCTGCACCGTTCTTGAGTGGCAAAATGGGGTCGAAAGCAAACTTTTAAGAGCCGTTAAGACAGAGTAGCTGTGTTCAAAGACAGGCCTTTGTCAATGGAAGGGCAAGCTGCAAAAAATTACATATCGTCCGATCGCCTAATGGCTAAAGAAAACAAACGAGTTACTACATACAGCTTACCTTCGATTCTCAACTCGTAGCTTGACGACGGAATTATGTAATGGGGCCTGAGATATTAAGTTGAAGAAACGTTCGTTTTATTCCACGATTTCCGGATGCTGTCCTGTTACCCCTTGATAAAGAATTTCACCGGGCAGGTCTTTACCACGTAGCTGTGACAGGTTCTAGAGTTCTGTGCGCGTGTGTTACACTGAGCTCATCATTAGGGCTGTGCACTTTGGCCTGTTTGCTTTGAGCTGCTCGCTCTGATTTCGTTGTGTGATACTATTGATTTAAACAAAGTTAACACCAAATAACTTATGCTAATTGATTTTTAAAACCGGTTGCTCATTATCATAAAGTAATAGCGTACAGTAGTCGTGATAAAAGAAATCGACGCTTTCAACTTCTTTGCTTCCAATTATCTCTTTTATTGAGAGATGAAACTGATTTCAACACTCTTGGCCGAGAGGCACACTGCGTCATTGTTTTCACGCCGACCCGAGCCGATTTTTCGGGACGGAAGCGCAAAATGTTTGCCAATTTGATTCAAAAGAGGTTACACTTTATCTAAATTCACAGCCGGGCCGGTAGGCTGATCTCACTGATCTCAATGTTACAATTTCTGTGGGACAAATTTTCAAATGGAGTGACATTTCCTCTGTGGGTTAAAATTTTGTAGCGTCTGCATGCGAAGTAAAAGTTTTTATATACAATCTGTTAATCATTTTATGCAAAGTTTTTCCCTTAGGTTTTTTTGCGGGTTGAAATTAATTGAAAATAAAAAAACCATGTTTATAAAGGTGTAAATAACAATTATTTATTGCAAAAGAATTGTATTGGACAAAAAACAATTGGAAATATTTACATCGTTCGAGAAGAGTGAACGATGTTATTAAATTTCGATAAACATACAAGTTTTACGTGAGCAATTTTTAGCGATTCAAATCTCCTATATTTGATGTCGCCTGTCGATTTCCAATTTAGCTAGCGGTTAAATCATTGTTGAGATGGAAAACGGCGATTAAATACACAAAGATTCGGTGTCATGGGGCAAAAACTGAAACAATTTATTTACAGTTTTATGAAGTACTCACCGTCGGTCCGAGATAAACCGTAGATATCCGCAAGACATTAATAAGAACTTCTTCTTGTTAAAGAGCACTTTATACGTCGAGTAATCTTAGCACAATATTTATTCAGAAAAGGAAAAAACGTATTATTTGTCCTGGGGTCGCTTTTATCTTTTTAGCTTGGGTGTACAGCTATATTATGGTATTTTGACGCCGTGACTCTGCCATATTTGATTGAGAGTATCACTTAACCTTTTCCGGGAGAAAAAAGACTATGACGTCAAAGGCAGATCTTAATTGGCGATAAAATGAACTTTCAATTTTTTTATCACCTGAAATCGTAATGAGATTTTCCAATAAGGCTTATACCATGAAATAACATGTTCAAATCCTACTTAAAGGCTGTTTATCAATGCCAATTTCGCTTAAAATTATACCGGCGACTTCCGCTCGGTAGCCATGTGCATTTGACAGCTGATAGAGAATGATCCAATAGAAGATTAACCCTTTAACTCCCAAGATCTGATTGTTTACTTTCCCCTCTAGCTGCTCAAAATTTCCTTGCAAATTAGTTATGAGAACTTGGTGTTAGATCAAGATAGCAGCTTTTACCTGATAAATTTGAGAGAAGTTTCATGTTTATTACTTGTGGGAGCTAAAGGTTAACTGTATGACAGTTCAAAAACATGGGCATATCCGAGAATCAAGGCAAAACTGTTGAGGCTGTGAAGTAGATTGATAGATTTTTTTGTTTTTATATTTTGTTTTTTTGTGTCCACTTTTTCCCGAAGCCTATTACTTGGAATAGAAAAAAGCCAATCAGAATTTTGCATTTGGAATCGAGGATATATCCTCATTATTGACACTTTACACCTTAACATCAGTATGCATATTCTCCATACTGGCCTTAATAAATTTCTTAAGGTGCTGACAAGGAGAATTTGTTTAACAATCAAAAGCTTCTTCTGTCGGTGATCATTTCCTTTATTCTCAAGATCTCAACGTGTGATTCAGCGGTGATAATGTAAGAAGAAATTTAATGCTAGTCACTCTCAGGGTTTTAAGAGTTAACATTTGGAGGAAAATTTTCCTGAAGTACATCCAAACTTGGTCATTAATTTAGTTGTGCTTTTTTGAGTGTTTCCTCCTTTGACGGCAAGCGCCATTCTCGAGTGATCATTTCCGGGACGTAATTCAAACTCTTTACTGTGCCAAAAAAGAAAATATATAGATTGATAAAAATATTTAATATAATTCATTGTGCCAATCTATCTTCCAGGACCCTCTTGTTACGGAATGACCGCGGGCGGTGCAGTGGACACTAAGCGGCTCCAAGGATTGAGGATCAGGCGAGGTTACTTTGTCCTTGGAGACGGGCTCTGTATTTCAAAATGGCGTCTTGTCAACATTCAAAACTCAGCTGTTAATCAAGCTTGATAAGGGCGATCTTGGTTTAATATGGAGCTGTCTACTTCAGGAAAAAGCGTGGTAGACTTGAATACGTCTTTCGTCGGTGGAAACGGAAGAAATGGTTTGCAATCTAATGGAACAACAAATGGCGGTAAGCTTCGATAGCGTTTTGGGTGATCGAAAATTATTTTCAGTCTTGTACTGTTCTTTACATTTCCTGTTAACACAGTTGAACGTTAAAAGACCCTTTTATACAGTTTGCTACAAAAAGGTGCCGTAGTACTTACTACATAGAGGAAACAGAGGATAGCTTGTCAAAATGTTGTCTTCATGTTATAACTGAGAAGTGGACACTAGCAGAAAATAAATTTATTAGGAATTCATGTTTGTCATGTCTAGATCTCAAACAAATCAGTCCAGTATTGGTAGCATTTGAGCAAGAACTTTCAAGATTTATTAAATACATTAAAAAGAAATCAGAACCAGGACTGAAGACCAAGAAGAATGACGAAGAACCTCTGGCAAGAGGGTATGTACATGTATAGCTGTATGTACAACGTAAATGTTTGGCGTGTTTTGTTTGTCTTTTGATTTTTGCGTTGAACTTTTGCATCCATCTGAAAGTTTATTCTGTTAAATGATCTCTGCAAATTTCTCTGCCTACTACTGTCCTAAGAATCTTGTGTTTGAATTCAAAACTGTATTGACTATTGATAATTGTTTTGACTTTCATTTTCAACCAGTTTGAGGATGTATATGTAAAACTGTGAAACAACGTTACAGTACTGATCTGTCTTTGGAATCATAACATCAAATATATTTGTGCATAATGCCTTGATATATATTCCTCTTAAGATGTCAGAATGATCATGAAAAAGTGTTTGATGCATTTTTGCGTAGTAACATTTGAGGATCCACTATTTTGTAGTAATTTTTGTTTCCTTGTATCAATTCACGGAAAGGTCAAACACATTGTTTTCCATGTGGAACACATATGAGAGCCGTTTACCACAATCTTTCTATCAAGAGAAGCTTTTAAACACTGGAGATTTCCTTTTCTCTGTCAAGGTAAACAAATTGCATTGCAGTCTTATGAAAAAGTTACATGTTTGTCTATGTCTACATACTTTTCATGTTTGTAGAAACAGGATTGACCAACTTAATTCCTTACTTTAGCAAGTGTTTTTTTTAAATTTTTTTTTGTAGTGACATACTTGAAAAGTTAGAGTTGTTAAAATTTTTGGCAGTTTACTTTTCTCATTTTTCATGGAAGGCATAACTGTGTGTATAATATTATTACCTCAATATTTGTCATGTAATTATGTTTGTGTCAACTTTGGTTTTCTTTGAAGGGTGGTAAGTGAAAAAATCTGAGAATTAATGAAAGCCCTTAACTTCTTTTTAAGACACTGAACAATTTGAGCCACATCTTCAGTATTCCAGCAGTTTTATACTGAAAAAAAAAACAAATAACAAGATCGGGTGGAAAGTTTGTGACAATTATGATTCTTCAATGTACTTTTTTACCAGCCTTAATTTGTACATATTCTAACATCCTGAAGGAATACAAACTTGCGCAGTTTCACTGCTATGGAAGATATCTGGCTAAACATGTTCAGAGGAATCTCACACTTAGTGAGACTGCAGAGCTGGATGCAGATAAATTTTACAAGATGCATTTGCCAAATGGTCTTGACAATCTGGCTTCTGCTACAATGGTGGTAAGTGAAATACTTGTTTAGTTATATAATCCCAATTCTGATAAAGTCTTTCACTTGTCATATACATGTATTAAGCCTGAAAGGCATCATGGATTACAAAATTCTACATCTGTTATACAGAATTTTCTAGCTGAATTTCAACAACCTGAGCAATTGTTTTATCCAGGCAGATAATTTTTTCACAAGCAGGAGCTAATTATTTTTCTGTCGTGGAGAGAAGTGCATTTTTATCACCTTGCTCTTTCTATATTCCATGGTCCAGTTATTTAACACCCATTCTTTTAAAAATTATTTCTAATACATTACAGCTCAAAGGTACTTGGCCCTAAATTCACGCAAGAAAACACCTATAAAAAAATATAAAAAAATGTAACACTGTGCATAGGGTCTTATGGGTTATAGGATGATTTCCCATTATTTACAATAGTTACCATTTCTGTAGCTCAGCTGGCTTTACATTATTAGTCCTGAGAAACATTACTTAAATTTAATTCTGTGTTTTTGTTTTACAGTATATCATAAGAAAGAGATAAAAAAAGTGTTCATGTTGTTGTTGTTGCAAAATTTTAAACTAAATATAATTTTTAATCATGACAGCTGCGATCGGCTCTTGGTGAAGCTATTTGTTTTTATCATGTGAACACTGCTGAGGACCCAAAACTGCAGGTACTGTTAACTGATGTACAATTATGCACCTTTTCATTTTACCAACTATTAGTGGCAAGCACACTGTAGCTCGCAAGGTAACAATGACAGGGAAGCCCTTTTGAATTGGAAAACTACTTAGTGCTTTAAAGAATCTTTTATCCAGTTATGTGGATCCATGCCGGCATCTTGCAACTTAGGAATTTTTAGGGAACTTAACACATACCTTTCTAGAAAATATTTGTAGATATTACTTAAACATGTTATCTTATACTTTTAATAAAATTATAAGTCATAGTCTATGTTAAATATGATGTAACCATTTAAATGTTTTTAATATCTATATTCATATGAAATAATTTCCAAATTTGCATATTTTTAGGTGTAATTATGTTGTCAACCATTTGACCCCTAAGAGTGACCAGCATCTAATTTCTCCTGACGTGATCACCCCTGATCCATTAATATTTAAGTCACGAGAATCAAGGAAATGATCACAAAGTAAAGAAGCTCTTGATTGTTAAACAAATTTTCCCTGTCAGCACCATAGAAAAACTATTTTTAATCACAAATTATGCATACTGATGTTAGGGTTTAACTCTTTAACTCCCACGATCTGATCGTCAATTCTCCCCTCTTGTGACTACACATTACCTTGTTAATTACTTACGAGAATTTGTTGTTCGATCAAGATAATATCTTCTGCCTGATTAGTTAATGTATTCTTATTAGCTGTAAGTTGGGATGATGTAGGGATACTCTTAGGAGAAGTTACACATTAATTACTTCTGGGAGTTAAAGGGTGGAAGGATTACTAACAGCTTATTCTCTCTTCTTTGAACACTTGAACTACTTAGTATGAATTGCATTAACCCTTAAACTCCCAAGATTTCATTTGTAATTCTCCTTACTGTCTGCCAAACAATTTATGTGATGTTAGTTTGGAGAATTTGGAGTTGGATCAACCAATCCCCTAATTGATATTTTTCTTTATTCTCATTACTTTTCTGCTTGATATCATATCGATAGTAAGGAGAAATTCTTTCTAGGTCATTAGAGGGACTTAAAAGGATTAATTACTATTCTAAGAAAGTAGTTTTACATGTTCTACATGTGCGTAGAGGAATTAAACCACAGGAAGAGAAACTGGGACTAATCCAGATGTCACTGCAGCTATAAATTAACCCTTTCACTCCTGAGATCTTATTAGTAATTCTCCTTACTGTCTGCTTTACAATTCTTATAATGTTAGTTCTGAGAATTTGGTCTTTGATCAACTTAAAATCCTTTAATTTATATTTTTCTTTATTCTCATCACTTGTCTGCTCAATATTGTATTGATATTGTAAGGAGAAATTCTGCCTTGGTCACTTATGGGAGTTAAAGGGCTGGTTTTTAACTTAAATTTAAGTTTGGCAGCCAAATCCTGAGAAGAAATGCTAGTCAGGTATTCCAGACGCCATTTTGACAACTGATGTTTTCATTAGTTGTTAAAACGGCTGCTCAAATACTTGGTCACTTCTTACTGGGAGATAAGTTTGGTATTGAATTGTACATATGTTAATGTGTGGTTGGTAGTCAGTGGTCAATTTTGAACACGCTACACATAATTTGACTCTATTTAACAAATAGATTCCAAGTTGCCAAGTAATAAATCACAGAGAACGTCAAAATGTGGTAAGAACAAAAAAGTGGCACTGATGTTCTTACCACATTTTGACGTCCTCTGTGATCTATTACTGAACAGACGCACAGCAACTTGGAATCTATTTGTTTTATATAATAAAGAATTAAAAAAGGTTTTAATGATGACATCATCTATATGTCTGTCCTCCAATAGGTCAAAAGTGAGAACCAATCAGAATGCGTGTATAACTGAGCTTATTATATAAAATATAATAGCAATTATTGTATTGAGAATAAGAAGCCAATTAATTTGTATTTGACAAAAATGTGAACACCATGTGTCATTTGTTAGGTTTGTTCTGTGACTTTTCTATATGACTGTACACTGGAAATTAAAAAATGACTAATTGTAATTGCCATAGGAAGGAAAAAACAGAGCATACAGAAAGAACTACTAGAGATGTTGGTTATGCAAGACTTGAATTTTACTTTACTACAGTAGTATTATATAATTAACAAAGATAGTTGAGAAGGTTGATTATCAAAGTCAGTAATTGAGGATAATCACAACTGTGTATAATGTCAAGAGCTCAGTGAGGGTGCACATGCAATCTTTTGACTTCTGTTCATATACTGGAAGGTCAGGTCCAAAAACCTAAGAATTCTTATAATTACATTAAAAATCTAGCATGCTTCATAATCATTATCATTAACCCTTTAACTCCAGGATCAAATTTGTAATTCTCCTTACTGTCAACCATACAATTCTTATAATGTTAGTTCAGAGAATTTAATATTGGATCAACCAATTATCCCCAAATTGCTATTTTTCTTTATTCTCATTACTTGTCTGCATGATATTGTATTGATAAAATTATTTTAAGAAGAAATTCTGTCTTAGTCACTCGTGGGAGTTGAAGGGTTAACATGCTTTGAACTATGATAATATTGACTACCCTCTTCATGCTTCAATTTAGAATCCTGATATAGTTTCTCAGTGTGTGGCTGCATTAAAAGTTCTACGATTGACTACTCAAACCTCCTTACGTAAAGAAGAATTGTGTTGGCTGGTCTTCAATGGTAAGCAGAAATTTTCTGTTCTTGCTAGCAGTGGCTTAACATTGCCACATAGTATTACTTACATGTAAGTTACATTATTATAAGCTCTAGCAAATTTCCCCTCTGATTGCAATGTATGGTTCACTTTTTCCACATGTTACAGCACAGAATTGTGAAAATTATTTTGCTAAAGCTTGATTGTTATGTGAGTTGAAATGTACTTGTACAGTGATGGCATAAGTTTAGCAATACACTAGATTTTTCATGTCTTTCTAAATGGAAAAAAGACAAAATCTTAAAAAATGATCAATTTGTGGCTTGGTAACTAAATTTAAGAGCAAATTGAACAGTAGATTGCTGTTGTTTCTTTAAATTTCTCAACATTGATATGACTGTGGATTTATTCTTTTTTATCAGGTACTGTGCATATTTACTCCATCTGCAGACATCTAATGGCTTGTGGACACAGCAGCAAGGTTAGAAATCAACCACAACTACACATAAAATTGTAATAAACAGAAATATTCAACTGAGTCCCAAATTTATTTTGGAATTGCATCAATTTGGTTTAATATTTTTTTGTTGGTTTAACAACACTTTGTTTTACATGTAATCAATACAAACTCTTTCACGGCCACATTGTCTGATAGTTTGCTGTTGATGATAGCAGCTCAATGTTATCAACAGATGTGTAAATGTATTGATGATTATGATTGCAAGGAATCATTTTTTTAAATTTTACATGAACATAGCTGGACTGTTGAACTTTGGAACTTGCTACCATCCAGTGTAAAAGCAATTTACTCTTTTTCCTCTTTTAGGTCCAGCCTAAAAAATAGTTATCTCTCAAAATGAGAAACTTATAACCCTCCTGGCTACTGATATATGTTTATATGTAGTTTCTCAGTTATAAGGCACATGGTTTTTTCAAGAAAATTCTGTCTTCAGGTGGAAAGTTAGTGCTGAAATTGGGGTGTGTCTTTTAGAAAAAAAATGGTGTTCTACATGTGAGCTACTGTTGGGTCATTAAATTCTAAAAGATTTGTAAGGGTGATGGAAGGTTTAAATATGTCATGAAAAACTGTATCACTTCACCATCAAGTGGTTTGAATCCATTTTTTTTTCTTTTTGAAGGCTTTAGAGTTCCTTCTCTGGGCTTGCATGTGCTTAGAATCATCTGTTCCTCTCCTCACTGTCAAGTACCTAACATGGCGTAGCACCCTGTACACTGCTGTCTGCCAGTGTTACTTTGATCTCAAAGTACCCATGCATGCGGAAGCATTTGCTAAAAGAGGCTTGGGCAAGGTGAATGAGCTGCAGGAAATTGAAAAGATGAGTACGTCAGAGGCCACTCCAGAGAGTGAAGCAGCATTTCGACAAGCCAAGACAAAGATGCAAGTCATGATATTCAAGAGGGTGGTGTTTGAGACTCGTAAAAGACCGAAAGGTCTTTTGCGTCCAAAGACAAAACCTAACCTCAAGGATTTTGCTCATGTAAGTAATAGTATTGGGGGGATACTTTGGTAGGTACATGTTCAGCTGCATTAGTGCGTACATGTTCATATGTATGTTTGTATGTATTCTATGTATGTAACTATGTGAAGTGAGATAATTTAGTTATCAACTGAGTTGAAAACATAAATTGGCCATAGTAAAGAGTTTCAAAGCTGACGTTTCGAGTGTTAGCCCTTCGTTAGAGCTAATGAAGGAGTTGTGGTTTGTGTGCGTGTTATCATGCAGAAAATGGAGCTACGCTATCAGTGGGAACATGGTACAGAGAAAAACAAGAGTAAATTTATTGAACGAAAAGCTTTTGTTGATACTGTGGGGATTAAGAGTGACGATTTGAAAAATGATAAATTTTGTTTTAGAGTTTTGCGGCTTTGCTAACTGCCCAGATGTAGGGACTAGCTAACCTTTCAATCCAATATTTTATACATCTTTAATTAACTTGTTGAACTCACGATTTATTTATCCTGTAATGAGACAAACAAACCTTTTCTCTTTTCCTCTCCAGCATGCATGGCCACGGACTCCAACTGAACGTCTCATGACAGACCTTCAGGGTACAGCTGCCAAATTTTTGGCCATATTAGAGGCCCTCAGTGAGACATACAGACGTACACTTCACTGCGAAGCACCAACTCCTGACGCAGAAGACACAGCCATAGATGTGTGTGCTGAGCTGTTCTTTGCAGGAATGGAGATAATTGCTGGCGGTGGAGGAATAAAACAGGCATTGAAACATGACGGAGTAATTCATCCTTCTGTGTGGGAGCTGCAGAACACCTCTATCATGGAGCTTGTGGCCAAAGGTAAACGTGAAATCTTGTTCATCTTTTCCTCCTCAACTTTCTTGTTCTCTCCTGTTTTCCTGTTTTCTGCCTTTTGGTTGAACTCCTTTTCTTTTATGTTTTCACCTTCTCATCATCTTGTCAGCTTTTCATTTCCATCGTGATTATGATCATCAGTCGTCACCTGTGTACAGTTGGAGGTTGTGGTAACCCAATATTATCATTTCATTCGTTTTAATGGTCATGTTTAATATTAAATTCATTGTAATTTAATCTGCACTTTTGTTTTCATGTTCTGCTCCCTCTCCAGCTCTTGTCAGTTCTTTTGTGCCTCCTTTTCCTCCTTATTTTCTCACTCTCACTTGTAACCCTTCCCCCTTCTGTCACCAGTCCTTCTCTTCTCTCCTCCACTGTTCTTCATTGTTCCTCTTTACCAATGCTTTCCCTTCCCTCATATCCTGGAATCCTTCCCTCATCACTCCTCATCATCGCCTCTCTCACCTTGTTCACAAATGCGTCATCAACAATTCTCTACACATACAGAAACAGTTATTTATGAGTTTCAGACTCACTTCTTTTCAAAGGGTGAATCGTAACAATGCCAAAAAACCTTCACTATCTCGTTTTCTCTTCCAGGTGAGAATGGTGTACCCCTCCCTGCTCTGGTCAAATTTGTCAAGCATGCGTTCAGTTATGAACACTGGGAACCATTTGGACAGCTGATCGAACCAACCCTTCAGCTTCTACAGGAGCAGAGTGATATTAACAGTCTGGTGGATATCAAAACACTGCAGCTCATGCTGGCGCTGGAGCCGTTTTACAATACTGTTAAAAAAACAAAGAAAACACCTGCACAGGCAGACGAGGGTGAAACAGGGCCCCATGCGCATGGTTAGTGTGTGAAGAAATATTTGATGTTTTTACCGCAATTGGCAGTAATGTTACAATCTGATTGGTCAATTTGCCGTTGTCGAGAAGGGTAAAGACAACGCTGCACGGGTCAACGTGTCACGCAATGGTCAGGCGCTGAAAGAATCGTTTTATCTGACGTCAATATTGTGGTAAAAAGCAAATCGACAGTGGTTTAGTGTAGTCTGTACTCTTATCAAAAACGATATTCGTCATCACAGGCGTTAAAATTTGATGCGGACAGAACATCATTTTGTGATGCGGTCCACAACATTTGTGTCAATCTATACTATATTACTACTATAAGTACTATCTTCCTCTATTATCTTTTATTTATTTTATGCATCTCCAGATAAGTTGTAAGATCCTAAACATTCCATTCCAATTATTACCTCGGAACGTTGATACTTGATACATGTTCATGTACTTATCCATCCCCAAGATAAGAGAGTTATCCCTTGAAGATGAGCTTTACTCTTGTGAAATAGCGGTAATGTAACTATATAACCTCAAAATTCATGATTGATTGGCATGACAATCCAATGAAATTTTCCTTTGCCCTTTTCTATTTAGTCAACATTCTTCTTTCTGTAGGGTTTGCATATTTTTCTTTTCAATAGTAAGACATTGGTAACACTTAGCAACAAATTGTACAAGTCTTGAGCATCATACTCCTCTGATAAATGAATTGCAATGTTCTACCAAAAGATCTTGAACTTTTGCTGTTTTGCAGGGAGAACTGGAAGTCCGCTTGAAGAACTAACGCATTTAGCGGATGTTATTCAGTCATGCTCTGAGGAGCCTTTTAAGGTAAATCACATTGTAGTAAGTTTAGGCTTTTTTAGGAGGAAATTGTGTTGTAAAACTGGGCCCAGTCGTTCAAAGGGCCGGTAACGCTATCCAATGGATAAATCGCTATCCAGCACACAATATTACACAAAACGTACTACGCTATCCACTGGACAGAGACTTACAGTATCTTATGGATAGCATCCTTCATCTTTCTTTCTGAGATGCATTGGTTTTGCTTTGCTTCCAACAGCACTTGATCTTTAAAGGAGAATAAGTGAGATGATCACCAACTATAAAGAAGCTCTTGATTCTTGACCAAATTCTCCCTGTCAGCACCTCAGGATTTGTGTAGTGAACAGTATTGAGAATATGCAAACTGATGTTGGGGTGTAAAGGGTTAAGTATTGGTTTTGCTGAAACCTTGCCCCACCCCACAGAGAACTCCTTGGTAGGCGTAGCCACGTGTATAGTTTTTGAAGTAATCACAATGTCCAGTCATGTACATGATGTGTTTTACTTTTTCTGTTTTCTTTTTCAGTCTGCCATCCTGATGAAAGACATTGATATGATGGTGGATGCTTCTTTATTCCTTTGGTCAAAATGCAAGCCTCATTTCCAGAGAATCCTGTCTTCGTCTCTGGAGAACTGCAAACAGCTGTTAAATGATGTATTTTTCAATCGTGTAAGTATGACATTTGTTTATTTGCTTGAACAGTGTGTAACGTAACAGGGTAATTTAGTATTATTAACTGAGTTGATAACGTAAATTGACAACCGTAAAGACGTTTCGAGCGTAAGCCCTTCGTTAGAATGAACGATGAAGGGCTGACGCTCGATAAGTCAGCTTTAGACTCTTTATGGTGGCCAATTTACGTTACCAACTCAGTTGACAATACTAAATTACCCTGTTATACTCTCCCACCGACACAGTACCACAGTTTCTTTAGAAAATGTACGTGTTTCGCTTTCAATTTTTAATGTACGTGTTTTGATATCAATTTGTCAACGAACTTTGGTTTCTAGTCATTCATTTTCAGTATCTTCATTCTTTTCCAGTGGCTATACATTCTGACAGTGGCACACACAGCTCTCTCCTGGAGTAATGCTGCACTTTTTGATCCCATTCTCAGCGCTGAAGTAACACTGAAGTTTTCTCTGTTGTTGGAATGTAAAGCAGGTACCACTGACAACTCCAGGGTAGGCAGCACAGATATCTTGGAGACACCAACAATTCCTGTATCCCCAGAGACGGTGGATAATAAACAGGTTAGATACTAACCGTTCAACCCCCAAAAGTGACTAGCATGTAATTTCTCCCTACAATATCATCCCCTGAATCAAACATTAAGGTCATGAGAGTTAAGAAAATGATCATTTACTAAATAAGCTCGTGATTGTTAAAGAAATTCTCCTTGTCAGCACCTCAGGAAATGTATAGAGAACAGTGTGGAGAATATGCATACTGATACTAGGGTGTAAAGGTTTAACAGCAGAAGAAAAACCATGTTAATGAAACTTAAAGGATGAAGATATCATCTCACATCTTCATGAACAGAGGAGGGGGAGTTTGGGAGATGTGGTAAAAGAAATAAATTGAGAACGATGTACATGTAATAGCAGAGAAAATAGAAATGACATGGCCAAGACACTCCTAAAACGTTGTATGACTTGAAGATGGTCTGCGGGAAACTGTAGAGATTTAAACTTAACCAATGTGAGTTGAGCAGGTAATTTAGTGTTAACAACTGGGTTGAAAACGTAAATTAGCCACCGTAAAGGGTAAAAAAGCTGACGTTTCGAGCGTTAGCCCTTCGAAGGGGGCTACCCTTTACGGTGGCTAATTTACGTTTTCAACCCAGTTGTTAACACTAAATTACCTGCTATACTCTCCCACCGACGCAGCACCACAGTTTCTTTAGAAACTTACCCCTTTATTCAATGTGAGTTGACCCTGATAACCTTGATTGCGAATGAGAAAACAAATCAAACCTGAAACTTGTACCAATGATCCCCAAAAGAGCAAAATTTTGTGGTAAAATATAACAGAATATACAAGGTAAATTTTGGAAGCGAAGAAAAGTGATAAACTGCCAAAACTAAGGGGAAAAAATCCATCACTTGCCAAACCAGACTGTAAGCGTGAGTGAAGGAAGTATATTCAGCTTGGAGTGTGGCCACAACATTTCGTTTTTTTCACCTTTGACTATGCAGGAGAAAGCTGAAGGAGAGTTACCAGAAAAACCTGCCATGGGTCCTGGGTCTTTGAGAAGTCTTTTTACAGACGTCAGTCAACAAATGATGGTGGCCATGGGTGGGGTGTCTGTGGGTGTAAGAGAGGTGCTCAATAAGGGACTGGGCATCCTGGACCAGGGGCTCAGGGATATCACCAAGGCACGTGATACAGTTATTGACACAAGAAAGAGGAACATTGCTGATATCAGTTGGATCAAGGTAAGGAGGCAGCCAGTATTTAGGTCTTAGTTCTAAGTTAGTGAGTTAGTTAATGAGCTGTCAGTGGGCTTGGATCAGGAGGCTGGGCTTGAAGCTTTACCAGGTCATTGTGTTGTGTTCTTGGACAAGACACTTTACCCTCACTCTGTCTCTTTCCACCCAGGAGTATACATGGGTACCGGTGAATTGTGAAGGAATCCTGACGATATACAAGGCTGGTAACTTGCGATGGTCCAAGGGGGGTTGACAAACTCTAATTCACGTTATGCCGCAGAAATCGGGGATGAATATCGGTTTTTTTGGTCCACGTGCCCTCAAGGCTTAGTCCACTGAGTTAGTGTACAGAAAACAGGAGATTTAATAGAAAACATGAATTGGGGTACGCCTCAATAAATTCTGAGTAACACCCACTGTCTGACTAACTGACAGACTGGCTGGCTTACTGACTTACTGCTGTAACTGAGCAAAACAAACCTAAAAATGTGTATTTTAAAAACAGGTATATCATGTTTGTTTCCCTCTTTCCTTCAGCCTTCAAGTGTAAGCAAACCTAAGACGAAAGATGATGACACAGAACATCAGGATTCTAACTTGCTTGAGCGGATGATAGAAACTTTGCACATGGAGTTGCTGTTTGTTCGACATAGAGTTGCTGTAAAGCTTGCCAACTTGGGGCAAGGTGAAGCAATAAGTATTCAATATCTTTTCATGAAGGCTTCAAAATTGGAAGAGATTTTCGTGTACATTGGGAAATAAAATCTTTCCAGATTGATGCATGACAATCAAACCGCTAAATGTTTCTCGTTTTCTTGTACAGAACCCTGTGAACCAAAGAGATCAGCCAAAAAACAGAAGGTAATTGAAAGCACAATATTTAAAATTGTTACGTGATCAAACCAAAGTGGCCGTGAGCCACTGAACTCGGAAAATAAAGGGGTTGGATGCTAGACCACTGAACTGACTCCAATTCTCAACTATCAGTTGAGCCCCACGCAAGGAGACTTACGTAAAAGTTAACAGGAATGGAAGGAAGGAAGGAGTGATCCAGTGTCTGTGTGATAGATGAAAGGAGTGAATTTGGGTCGTTACAACAACTCGAAAATGGCTTTCAGCCATTGTCCGAGTTGAAGATGATGATGCTGGTAAAGTCAAACAGTCATCCCTAAATTTTCCTATCTTACCTTACAGGAGAAACCAAAGACTAGTGCTGGTTCCTTACATTTTAGTGATGCAGAGAATGAACTGCTATCTGAGTGCAACAGGAACCCGCTGTCCAAAGCACTGCTGCGCATGCACATGGCGGGACAGGCTGTTACGTCACAGAGTCATGTGGGGACCGAAAGACAAACACAGCTTCTTAAGGTATGATGTTTCAAGTAATCTGTCACAGTTTTGCGTAGGAGCCCTCAGCAAGTCGTTGTACTATACACTTCGATAGCCTCCCCCACCTTGGAGATGTAAATGTATATCAGCTAACTATCAGGTAGATATGACAAAAAGCCGGGGGAAGTAACCGCGTCTACTTCTATTGTAGGAGAGCCAAGAGCTGATTGTCAAGTGTCAGCAGCAGGAAAGGAAAATATCCAGTTGGAACAGACAAACAGACGACACCAGTGACAACATTCTTCCCTCTGATGTCCCCCCGGCCCCTCTCCTTGTGTACCGCAGCTCTGCTGTGTTGGTGTTCAAACCAGCTCCCTTCGAGCCAAAAACAGGAGAAAAGGTATATTGGCACTAACTGACTTCAGATTTCTCCTTGTGATATAATTACTCGTCGAATGCAAAAGTTCACAGTTGCTTAAAACTTAGCCTGCAGAGCAGGCGTAGTTTTGGCGAGCTTTATTTTTACAGTAATAGAAGTGGGGGAGAGAAGGAAATTTTTACCAAGGGGGTTAACGACGATCAAAAGGAAGTAGAGGGGAGGGGGTGGGGCAATAGAAATTACTCTAACCTTTTCCTGCCCCTTCCCTCACCATCCACTCTAACTCTAAATCAAGCATGGCAGGTCGGATAAACGATCACGAGCTTGTGAAGTTATAATAGGACGCCTGCACTGCAGGCTATTCAAAATTCAAGCCTCAGAAATTACAAGGAGTGGGACTAGTTTATCTTGTAAAACACCTCCCGTATTTTTCAGTTTAGTAGACGCGAACGAAAGTGTAGAGCGAGGTAGGCGCGAATGGCGATGTACGCTCAAGAGAGGAAGTTGTTTCATCCCGCTCGCCGTGCGCCCCCGTATTCTTGCTTGAAAAAAGCCAAAAAATGGCGTCTATTCTGTAGGCAAGGCTAGTTTGTTTTTCTTTACGGCATAAGTATTGAACTTGAAATTTGTAACGCGCAGAAACGATCTCATTTATTATGTTGTAATTGTGACATGTTGGTCTGTATTTTAGGTGGCATGGTATCGACTCTTTGCAAGGTCGGCCAGCGGTAATAATGTTAAAGTCAGGCTTAATGACTATCAGCTGCCAGGGACTGGTGAAGAGGTATTCTTTGAGTTTCTAAGATATCATTGTTTTTGTATAACAGATGTGAAATGAAAGGATCCTGTGTGGGGAAGTAATCACTGGTGAATTGATAGCATACTATGTAAATCCCACAAACTAAGTGATGTTATCGATCAGTTACATTAAAAGGATTTATGACCACAAGAAATATGCAAGGGTTCAAAACAAAAACAAGTCAACTGCTTGATACGCAAGGAAACTTAAATGGCAATCCAATGTTTCTTTTCAAACGCCTCTCACTTGAAATTTGCTCAACTGCACTCCAACATAACAACAGACCGAAGTTGATCAAAGGATTGACAACGCCATCCAATGATTAAATCTCTATCCAGTTGACTGGACAGCGATTTATCCTTTGGATAGCGTTATCCACAACTTTGAACAACTGGGAACCAGTAATTTTCCAAATTGCTGCCAATTTTTTAGATCCCGGCCACTGCTGACATCAAGTTTTTTGTGCGTGGGCTTAAAGCAGATGAGAAGTACATGGCAGCAGTAGCAGCTTACAATGAACATGGTAAACTGATCGGTGGAAGTGTTGGCTTAACATGTCGACCTGTTCTTGCTGCTCATCCATTACCTACCCTCATGGCGTGGGGGTATTTAGCTCAGGTACGTGACAAGCTTCGGCGTGACAGTTAGATCATATGGTAGGAATACAACGTGACATACTGACAGAATGAACAAGGAGACCTGTGTGACAATGTACAGCGTGACAGGGAGAGCTGGGTGGCATTGTACAGCGTGACAGGGGATAGCCTAAGGCTAGAAAAAGTATTCTTTGAATTGAGGTGCTCTTTCAATGGAAGTAACAGATAAAGGTTGTAGAAACCTTGTTTTATGTCGAAATCATAGCTCGTGTTTTTGAAATGGGGTAGCCCTCGATTAAAGGTGTGGCGAAAAAGAAGTTACACTGTGTGTCTATCGCTATACTTCATGTACCACACACAAAGCCTGACACGGACGTCTTAAGAAGTCATTTGAAACTCTGCCCTGAAGGCGTATTACCTGTGTGAAGTTTTGAATGCGTTGTTATCTTGGCTCTGTAATGCGATGTGATTTCCTTTCATTTACAGCTCTCTTTTGCCTCGGGCGTGTTATCAGTAGCTAAATCTGCTGCGTCCGTTTTGTGGAATCACTTTGTAAAGGAGCGTGAAACATTTGAAGAGAACACCAATATCCAAACAGCCAGTTCCGATTTGTGCATCTCTCTACAAAGGTTGGTACTAACGTTGAACAATTCACGTTTCATTTACTTTTTAAAATTATTAATATATACTTACAAGAGCCCTCTATTCTTTAACTCCCATGAGTGACCAAGACAGAAATTCTCCCCACAATAACGATACAATATCAAGCAGACAAGTGATGAGAATAAAGAAAAATATAAGCGAAGGGTTATTATTTGATCCAATAACAAATTCTCTGAACTAACATTATAAGAACTCTATGGCAGACAGTAAGGAGAATTACGTATGAGATCCAAGGAGTAAAAGGGTTAATGGGCTCAGAGGTGTTGAACACATTGATAAGTAAGAGAAAGTTATTTTATTTACTTTTTTGTATTATTTTGCAGAGTCGACGAGGACAGATTGCGCGAATGTTCACCTGTATTGGCGAGACTCTTTCTCCAGAGTATCTTCATATCCGTGGACATTAGGATCAGGGAGGGGCATCTGTTCTGTGACTGTCTGTGTGATAGTGGACCACTTTACAATGGGCAGGTAATTGTTTTGCGTTTATTTTATCAGAGATTTCAAGTATTTCTAAGTAAAGGCAATTTGGCAGTCTTGCATTTCGCATCCTTCCTGTATCCTCATTTCACACTTGATTAACGCGTGTGCATTGAAAAATGGCGGCTTATTCTTTATTCTCTCGGAGCTTACCAGAGAAGTAAATCGTCGTTTTCTCGCAAACGAGTGCGGTGACGTGTTATTTGAATTTCTTTCCGTAAAATGAATATAAATAAATTTTCAGAGTAGGAAAAGGAACGATTTTAGGAAACGCCAACTCATCATGTACTCGAAAGTTTAACTGTTATGTTATTATAGGAATCGTATGGGTCTCTACAATATACTGCTTCTGCTTCCAAAGGAGCTCAGGAACCCTCTCCCCCTCCCTTTTTATGGGTGATTTTCTTCAGGAATGACCTGTGTCAAGCTGCTGCTTATTATATCATATCTCTTTATGCAGGTTGCTCGCCTTGAAGAATGTGAGCGTCTTCTTCTTGCAATTCAAGTTTCCGGCTGGCTGAATGACACTGCGCTTTGTTTACAAGCTGTTGTTCAGTGTTATGGACTACTAGCACCTCTAATTCACCAAAAGATTCCTGCTAAACCAGTTGTACAGGTTTGTGGAACATTGTTTCTGTCTTAACTGAGAAATGCAAGCTGTTAAATCGGAACTGTGGCTTGGAACGCATTTTTCCAAACCCTGCATACGCTTTTTTGTGAATACAACATTAGTAGAAATTGATAAATATACGGTTTGTATTTTTTTCAGGTTCTCCTCCGGTGTCATGCTGTGCTCCAAGAGGTCCCTTCACTGACACGTCATAGAAAGTCCTCGTCTACTTCTGACAGTTTGTCACACATGATCGCCACAATGACTTATTATATAGCCAAGGTAATGAAGTATATTTTGTTTTAGGGAAAACACCGCACAGTTAAGGATAAGCTAAGCGACAAGAAGTATGGCGGAGGGTGGCAAAGATTTTGACGGATTGCAAATTGAGAAAATTAAAAACTTAAGGGTAAACCTTGATCAGGCTCCCTTGATTTTTATTTCAATTAAGTTTGAGATGTCAGGCGTTTGGGATAACGAAATCTCGTGTGTTGCCGTTTAACAATACCGCTTATGCATATTGACACGTAACACGCCGTTGACACGCGTGTAATGTATGCTCATACATTACACGCGCCAAACACGCATATTGCACGTCTCTACACGAATTTGCGTGTAGACCATAGAACGCTTGTAATTTTGCTACTTCACGTGTGTCAATACACGCACTAGCGTGTTTTATTTTCACGAATTACACGCGTTCGACGCGCGTGTAGGTGCGGCAATAAATGTGAGTGGTATTGTATCTTTTGCATCAGTGCAGGAAATATCCATGGTTCTTTGGTGCTTGTGATTCTTTTCTTCGTGTTTAAAGTCACAATGACTTGAGGGCTCTTGTGTGACATTTCAGATATTACAAATGTGGAACGAGCAGGGAGTAGCTGGGGCCATTATTGAACTCGGCAAGAAAATGCTTAATATCGAAACTGCACCTGATAGTGCTGGTACCATGACAACCATGCAAGCTGCTGCTGCGATGGCAACCGCCACTCTGGGAGGACCGCCACCGAGTAAAACCACCAAAAAGAAGCCTGGGGCGACTAAAAAGCCCAAAGGTGGTGGAGGCAAGGGACTGGGAAAACTTGAGAAGGAAGCCGCTGCCTTCACTGCTGACGCACAGAATGAGGAGCTGAAGGCCTTGGAAGCCTACATCTTAAAACTCAGTCAACAGGGTAAGCATGGCACCGAATCAGTTCCATTTTTCCTCTTAATTCTGAAAGCTAATAGAAGAATGATCAAGCGAATCAATTTGTCGCGAAACTGCCGAGTAGAAACAGATGTAGTTTCTTACTCGCGCTTATTAAAACCAAATTGCACTCAAAATCATGTTGTTTCCTATACTTATACCAATTTTCATATTATTTCTGTGGGTTTATCCTTACAGCTTTGAACCGTGATGATGAGGAACTAACCGGCTCGGAAGATCCATCTGTCCTTCACTCAGTTGTTGCCAATCTCCCCGCTCAACAAGCGTACAAAGAAGGTAAGTGAAGGAAGGGGCGCTAACCGGAACATTTACAAGTTGAAGGCATGTTTTGATCCCCTTTGGCAAAATATTAGCCTCAGCCTTATTTAAGCGCTGTGAAATGAGATGCAGTAAAAGAGCCATAGTTTTCAGGATAAGATCGATATTTAGTCCAAAATCACATTAACTCCTGATCCAGTCCTATAGTCGGACGAAAGACAAATTTCGGGTAATGAATGACCAAAGACGAACTAAAATATTTCTTCAATACCTTCCGCTATCAACTTCCACGAACTTCTCTTGATATAAACTTACATTTATTGTTGACTTCCACCTTTGGTGTCAAGACCTTTTTATCACAGATAACACACGTTAAATCTGCTTTTCCACAGACTTTGAAGCTGCATGAGCTATCTGTTTGCTTTATGTCTGACTGTACAATTGTTCATCTTTTTAAGACTGGGATGTTGATTGGTATCTTGGCCTAGATGAATCCGTCTCGGCTGAATGTTCTGAAGAAACTCTCTCTGAAGCATCCTTTGTTTCCTCTGCTATTGACTGACCGAGTGAGGGTTGCACTCCTAACCTTTCACAATCTTTCTTGAATGATCTATTCTTACAGCGTATCACCCGTTCTGCAGAATCCTTTTGGGTGAAACCGCGCTTTGCATGACTTGTGTAGTACTGAATGTTTAACTGTGCCTTTCTATAGGGATGCAACAAGTACAACATGTAGTGAATGCTTTTGTTCTCCCAATCTTGTCTTTGAGTCTGCGCATTGCATGCCATTCCACTCTCAACTGAACAGACCTTTGATACAAAATTATCTTTCCTCTCCTTCACTTCCTTCCTTGAGATGCCATACAATTCTCCTTAATTTTTGTACATATTTCTTTCAATGCCAGTTCTGAGAATTGAGCATTACATCAGATGATAAACCCCTCTCCATATCAAAGAGTGATTTCAGAATTTTAATCTTTCCTTGTATTCTTTAATCTTTTTGTTTTGCTAATAATTTAGACAGTGTAATTATGTTTTCTGCCCGTCAGGCTCTTTTACGTCGAGACTGTCAAGGTCACCTTTTTAAATTTAAATGCCAAGATATCTTCAGTGTGATCTTTCTGTTCTCTACATTTAATTTTGTAATCACAATCTCTCACAATGTTCTTAACTGTTCATTTGTGTTATAATGAATAACGAATAAAGCACAAGATAACTTACATTCTTGCTCTCTCCTCTTCTTTGAATTCCTTTTTGTCTAATTATGTTCCTGTTTTTGGCTGATGTGTTTGTTTTCAAGCTTTAACAGTATTACACTGTGAAGCTTTCTAGAGAAAAAAATAAATCTGATCTGTAAGCTTGGAAATACTTTCTCTGCTCATTAAAAAGGCATCTTAAATGAAAAAAGATAATTTTCACTTCCCGTTTACTTCAGAAACTTTTAACTTGAATGAAGGGTCTTCATCCGTCGTCTGTTCTTTCCTCATTTTCTTGAAATGATCTTTTTCTGCTTGTTCTAACGAAGTAAAGCTACCTCTTCAAATGTGGCACGAACCTACCCCATATAATTCGTGTTCTCGTTTGTGTTCTCGTTGGAGCGTGTACTGGTTTTAGAAATGGACCATCAACATGCTTACCGTCGAATACATATTTACCCTTCCCTCCCTGCAGTACTCAAATTTAAGAGGAGGACTCGCTTCCTGGGCTTTTATGTCCAGGTGTTGGCTAAAGCTCTTCAAGAGGGTCTGACAGAAACAGCTCTGGATTGGACCAATGATACCATGACGTGGATCGTGAGGTGAGCAAGTGGTGGCATCTGGTAACAGATGAAATCACTTTAAACAGTGCTAGTGGAAGGGTCATGTTGATTTTGTCACGTGGGTAGGAGCAAAAGGTTGTGCTTTACACAGCCGTAACAATATTTAAAATGCGTTGATTATTATTTTGGGTCGTTTTCAATTGTCACTTTTTTTAATGAAAATATGACCTTTAACTTGGTATGAGAGAGTAGAAAAACGTCAAGGAGCCTAAAATTAACCTAAAAGGAACAAAGTAATTTAATATTATCAACTGAGTCGATAAAAGACGATGAGGATTGACCTGGATTGCAGTGGGCAATCCCTAGAAATGTAGGATACCAAGCCTATAAACAGGCTCTGGTTGGAAAGGCTGAAGAAGAACTATATTCAAGTGAAGCGGCGCGTTATATAAAGCGTTTACGATGTAACGTCTTTCTATCTCTTTGTAGGAGAAATGAAATGCTGTTGGCAAACAAACCCACCATAGTTCGTCAAGCGGCTGCTACAGCTGGACCGGAAGAAGAAAAAATTAAGAAATTTGCAACCGCTATTGTTGAATTTAGTAAGGTAAAGAGTGACTAGCGTCTAATTTCTTCTTTCAGCAGCACTCTTGAATCAGACATAAAGGGTCGAAAGAAGAAAGAAGTTTTTGATTGTAAACAAATTCTCATTTCAGTGCCATGGTATTATCTTTGTTTGTTCTTATGTTTCTCTATATGGTTCATATTCAGCCCCCCACGAGAAGTCCACAAAAAACTCGACAAGGAGAGACTAAAAATGAGGATAAAGAGGAAACAGAGATTGTTGTGCGCAACAAGCAGGAGACTGCGTCCAGACCCCCGCAGTCTCAGAAAAAGTCTGTAGTATCCAGTACCGTATCGAGAAAGGTATGTATCATTCACGTTTGTGCAAAGTGACCGAGTCCTGAGTGGTTTGACATTTGATTGATTGATAGGGTGGCGCGAGTTTTCTAGACCAATCACTGAGCGAGGTAGAACTAAAGTGATGTAATCTTGGATTTCTTTCGACTCTCCTTGTAAATTGCTCTAATTACGTAACTATTCCACGTAACTACGAAAGCTCCAAAATAGCTGCTTTAAAATTTCTTACAAGTGTGTTAAATTTTGCTGGGATTTGTCTTTGTTTGATCTTCTTTTGATTAAATAGCTTGGCCAATTGAAAAGAATTCCGTGGAATCAATTCTTGATTACTTAAAGTAAGCATGCAGTGAAGAGGTAATGTTTCCTTCTGTGACAGGCTCGGAGATTCAAAGGAAGAACAGCTGAAGAGGTCGACATCTTTAACGTGAGTACACTGTAAGAAAGGAGACAGCGTTTTTGGAAGGTTGTTTGGTTTGTTGTTCAAAAGTCTGCCCGTTTGATACCTGCTGGTTTTCAGAGTTGTTTCCCTTTTTGGAGGAGGGAATCTTTTTCTTATTTCGATTAGTCGATTTGCCTGTAAGACTTGTTTCCCTCGTCACGTTCGAGATCTGGCGGGTCACTGTGTTGTGTTTTTGGGTATAACTCTAAATTTACAGTACCCCTCCTCACCCTGTAGTATAAATGGGTACCAAACTCTCAGGGAATGTTTACAAACCATTGAGGAGATATACTGAGACGGACAGGTAATCCATTTGGCGGGGAAGGGGGAAGAGAGGAGGGGGGGTAGCGATACCCCTGGTCACTTCATGTCTCAGAAACTGAGATGTTCTCAGGCAGCCATGGACCAGTACAAATCATAAGCCTCTCTCTTTTACGATGACTATATTTCTTACACGACTGATTTATTCTCGCTCTTTCAAGGCGATTGAACGACTTCAGGGCTTTTTGCCAGAATACTGGCGATCATCACAGCGAAGAAAAAAGCTACGAGCCGTCAGCTGCGAAGAATTGCCATGGAGAGCCCAGGTGCAGATTTGTACTAATATGTTTTGATGTTAGATGACTATGGCAATAAACATTCAAGAATAGAAAGTCTTTGCTTTCCTTGCCACCTATTATAGTGAGATAGCAGGAAAGATCAGTGTTTACTCAGTCTGCTCTGATTATGTGGGGCTCGGCTTGGGTGGCGTAATACCCCCTCCTTTTTTCCGCAAGTCTGGTCATTGCCCTAAACTCAATGTCAGACGGTTGTCATTCACAGCTGGTAGCGGGTCAAAACCGTCGGCTATTCTGGCACCTTAAGCCGGCTACTGTGACTTTATTCTAGCAGTATTGCGGATGAAACGTCGTTAAATTGCTGAAATACTACCGAAGGAATTTGGACAACAACTATTACTCAGCTTTGTGTGGGATTAAATACTTAATGTACCAGTAACAGGACTATAGGTACATTGTATGAATCGATTTCACGTCCAGAATCTGCTATAAGGTTCGTACGAACCTCGTACCTGGATCATTTTAACCGAACAGTTCCCAGTCTTGCGCGTAATCTGAGGAAGCAAAATGGCACCCACAGTGACCTAGTCGTCTAGTATTTCTTATTTGCCTTCAACTTTCAGCCTGACTGTAGCCGAAAATGGTTGCTGAATGATCGGGCGTAATGGCCAAGCGAAAAATAGAGGGTCTGTTTACTGATAGCGTCATCGTTGTTGTCTGTTTTCATCATTTTTCAGATGGGAATTCTTCTGGCGGGTGCAAATTTTGATTTGTTTCTTGACAAAGTAGAAAGTGGACAACGTTTGGCAGACGTAGGAGACGCCGAAAACCCGTTATACAGGTTTGATACACGAGTTTATAAAGTTTGATTTCTTTTACCAGTCCTGTAGTTTACAACACCATCAGATATTAGTAACAGACATGTGAACATCTCTTCTTCAATCTTAGGACGCTGTTGGATTTTTTTATTTCCATTTTTATTTCCTAGGCCTTCGTATATGGATCCTGATTGGTTTGGCTATGCTACATCCGGGACCTTAATAGTGTCGTGGGCTGGTGCGTCAAGAAGAGCCTCACCCGAGCCCCCCATGGGTTTTAGCGGATCAGCGAGGGATACGCCATTTTCTCAGCGTGCTCCAACAGGGTCGCGGTCACACCCACGGGAGGGGACTAGGTAATTATTAGAACTTGTAGAATGCCTTCACAGCCTCTCTAAGCACAATGTGCCGTACTGTCGGTAAAGAAATAAGATCCAATTTTTGTTTTCTTTTGTTGTTTTTGTTTTTTTTTTTTCTTTTGAATGGTCAAGGCTATCACGTTTTAACTGACTGACTCCCTCAGTTGTTTGTTTACTCACTGAAACACTAAATGAATGTCCTATGGATTACTTAATTCATGGTTTGACTTTCCGTCAGACTGCTTGAATGATTGACTGACATGACACTTTGATCAAACAGGACTGGTAGCAGAGTGACAGGGGTCACCGGAAGTGAAGGTTCCACCGCAAGCAAGTCACCCATGTTCTTCCTGCTCTCCGCGCTGGATCATTTATCACGAGCCATTGTAAGAACAAAAATTCAGTTTTATTAAAACACTTCAAGGAACAATTCAATACCTTTTTCAGAATCTCCGTCTCAAAAATTAGTTAGGCTCGTATTCAATTGTTACCTGTAGGCCCAGTACTTTTCACGCAAAATCCCTCCCTGGCAGTAACACTCGCAAGGTGAACTTGTCTCGCGACGTTTTCGTTGAGGCAAGTCTCACTTTTGGTTCGCGACTTGGCCACCCGCGTTTACCCGCGCTTTGAGCAATTTGCTTGGTTTTAATCTGAATTCTTATTGGTTCTTAAGGGTATTTACCTCTCTTCTAATTGTTGTTGTAAGGACTTTGGTTTTCTGACACTCAATTGAAAGCACTTTGATTGTACCCGATTGTAAAGCGCTCTTATGTTGGAAATAGTTTCACCCGTACATCAGCCAATTATCCTCACAGAGTTATTCAACGTGATTTATCACTTCAGACGTAAGAGTGATTGGCAAACGATATATTCATAGGTATTGACTTATCGTGGCAAGTACTGGATCATGCTACAGAACGCCTGCCGAGCCCTATGGAACATGACTCAAACGGTGCTCATGCGAGTCGTGGCAGGGACGCTCCACCTCGCTGAGGACCCTTTGGCTGAAGGAAGCACTGATATCGATGTTCTGAGAAAGGCCCTGTGGCAGAAGTTCTATTTTGGGGCGGACAGGTTGTTGGACATGATGGTTTTGATTCAAGAGCAGGCAAAAACAGAATCTGAACAAAATAAAAAGGTATGAATCTTTGGTGTAGTAGGGGGGGGTCAATTTCTTTTAGTCCCCCCTCCCCCTTAACACACTGTTAGCGAGTGATCCCTCTCTGTTCCCCCCTGAAAACCATGTGATTCCCCCGAATTCCTCTCTCCTTAGCCCCCTTTGCATTCCGACTACACCAAATATTGATTCCTCGTCAAGCAATCTTGCCCCCAACGCCGGTCACTTCATTACACTCTGGGCTATGATTTTCTTAAATCTTTCGAAGGCCAGAATTTTATCTTGACTCTCGGTGGCCGTGAGTTTGGTAGACATTTGCTTGACATCCTCGCTGCCTTCTAACGTGACTCATTCTCTCCCTTTTTTTCAATAGCGTGACAAAGTGAAGAGGGGAGATCTGTTGATTAATGAGAAGCAAGGCCTGATGGGAGGAGTTGAAGATGAGAGAGGTGGAGCGAGTTTGTTGTTTGAGATACCGCTGGACAACTCGAATGTTGCGGACACTCGCTGGCTGAAGAGGTTTATCCTCTACGCAGTGGAGATGTTGTTCTACGAGAGGAAATGGGAAAGGGCTGTCAGTATCATCTTGAGATTCAATGCGCTAACCAGGTAAGAATAAAATGAAGATCTATCAACATTTCACATTTGAGCTTTTTTTTCAGTTGAATGTCGAAAGTAGCCAGAATTGCATCGTTTATCTCTTTACCAACCACGTGAAATACTCAAATTTTGGACAAAAGTCTTGGAATACTTCTGTTACTTCTTTTCTCCTTTCACTTTTTTTTTTTCACTTTTTTTCACTTTCGGTGTTCATTCTATCTATTTGATCGTTGGCTTTGCTTTCAACTGTGTCATGGTCCTTATTTTTTCGCGTCTTATAAGGGCCTCTGTTCTCTTTACATCACCTGTGATACTTTTCGCGCCTTATTGGAGCTATTTCGTTTATTCTCCCGTTACTGTTTTCAGCGGTAAAATGGTTAATTTTATTCGCCTTGTTATGGCAGTTCAACGCAGATGAACCTTTTTATTTTGAAAAGTGTTATTTGAAAACTATCTCCTTCGTTACCTTAAATTTGTTTATTGATTCTTCAGTGCATGACATTGCTCATGACACTAGCGTGACAATTTATCACCTTTAATGCAAGGAGAAAGCGTGAGCTACTTGCAAGGTTTTCAGCAGAGGTACGCCGCCATTCTGTCGTTTGTTCCCAGGAGTCGTTATGCCGAGTCAGTGCTACCTCTCCTTATCGTCGCACAACGAAAACTTCAGGAGCAAATCAATGACCATGGTGGTCCGTCAGGAAGTCAACCTCTCATCACTATCTCCAAGGAAACGGGTATTGCTGAAGAGTTTTTTATAAAGCCATCAGAGTACATGTCAATTGAGCCCGCGGTGCATATTGATCCTGAAGGCCATGATGTGTACCGCGGTAGTTTGGACGCGCTGAGACTCGTCTCAGTCCCTCTGGATGTGAATAAAAGCCTCCAGGCTCTGCACCAGGCTCTTGAGTTGAAGCATCACACTGCGCGGTCTCTAGATCACAGTCGACAGCTTTTGTTGTGTTACCTCGCGGGCCAGCAGGAAGGTAAGAGAATACGATATGCAAGTAAATGTAAAAGCAGAGGATGGAATCGCTGAGATGAAACATTGCTCATCGTAATGATAACAACGGCCTTTAGATAACGATGTATTGAAATGTTCCCTCCCTAGGCGGGACAAGCACCCGTGTGCAGCGCGGGTCATCCCGTGTCGGGTTCTTACCGAGCCAAGTGAAGCCTCCCACAGATGTTCCACTGGATTTAACGAAAGAAACGTTTGACTCTGTGGAAGATGTGCAAACATTTACGCTGCAACCATCGCAACTGGCTGTGGTAATTGCTTCCTACGATAAGACAATTGGTAGGCTTCATACAATAGATTTGTTTCTAAAGTGATTAGCGTGTTTAGGGTTTAAAATGCAAGTCTGTGTAAAAGTGTTTTTCTGTAGCTTTTCGGTAAATGATGGCATAGTTTGATGTTCATTAACCAGTCAACCCCTAAGAGTGACATCTAATTTCTTTTTACTGTATCGCCCTTGAATGAAATGAATAGGTCATGAGTACAAAAGGAAATGATCACCAATTTAGGAAGCTCCTGATTGGCAAACAAATTTCCCTCACCAGTACCATAGAAAATGCCAAGAGAACAGAGAGGTGACTATGTATAATCATGTGAAGGAGTAAAGGGTTATCTTGATCACCATCTTGTGAACAATACTACAAGGAAGTACTCTCACACACAAGAGATTTATCCACAGATTTAAAAGTTGAAGGCATGATAAACAGCACCACAAAAAAAAATATTTTTCAGAAGCTTTGATATATGAGATCATTCGAGAGGGTTTTATCAACAGGCTTAAAAGCCAGAGCCACCCGGAGCGGGAGCTAAGTGGAATTGTTAACTTTACGTTTGTTCTTCACAGAAATGTTACAGTTTCGCAAACAGAAGAGTCTGGCTGCTCAAGCTATGCACGAACTGGGTAACATAATGTTTCACAGTGGGAATATTAGGTTTGTACTTGACTGCGATTGATGAGTTTTTCTAGTCATTGTCATTATTTTTAGGCTCATTCATGATTGTAGACTGTGCTTTCCAATCGTTGCATCTTTGTCGGTGCTCTACAACCGATATATTTCACTAAGACTTTGATTGGTATTTAATTGAAAGACGTGTTTAGTAGCAACGATAATAATTTTGGTTATTGTGACAGTGATGACTATAATTCTAGTGATGATAATTATAAAAGTGACAGTTATGATAATACATATATGATAATAATAATGATAATAGTGGTGAGAAATTTCATTTCATTCTGAGAAATTTCTCGCCCATCAAGTGATGTAAAAGAAATTCCTCCAGCGCCTTAAAATCATGGTTTTATCTCGGCCATAAATGACGGAAGCAAACAAATGAAAGACTTTGCACGACTTTAATCACTTGCCCTTGGTGCAAATTATATTACATCGATGAATGAAATAAATTAGCAAAAATTCAATCACAAACTTCTTGAAAAGATTAGCCTTCATTGAAACATTTTTTTAAAATGTACAGAAAATGTATGCGTGACAATCGTGGAAAACTGCTTGTTCAGAAAAATAAAACAAGCTATTTTTTCTCTTTTTACGAACCCAACACAGGGCTGCGTACAAGTGGTGGGCGGAGTCTCTAGACACGATCCTCAACACAGTGGATTCGCTCAAAACGTGGCGTGAATTGACGTCATCATCTGATACATCACTCAAGCCCGGTGCTGCTCTTCTTCAGAGATGTGGGCTATGGGGATGTCTCCTAGGAGGTGTATTGGCCGCTAATATTGCGCAGTAAGTCAATAAGAATGCATGACAAACTCCTAAGTAGCTTTTACTCTTTTCTACCTAACACCAGAAGGCGTATTCAAAGCAAAAAAACTGTCGAGAGAAATTTGGTGCCATCACTCTCTGTGGTGAGAGGATTAAGCAATGGTTTTTAATACGTTCGCCTTATACTTGAGTAGACCCCAGAAACAAGTCGTGTCCTTATATTATGATTTCCCTTCTCATCATTCTGTAATCAGTTCTATGATATCTGATTTTCTTATTCTTTTATTCGACAGATACATTCACACATCCAACCTTGGTCTCCGATTAGAATGTTGTCTTCTTTCCGCGACATTCTTCAAGGTGAGAGAAGCTTTATCCTCGTTGTTTCCTCTTGTAGACTTCTGTTTGCATTTTCATGACGTTTTCAATTCTTTTCAGGCGTTGTTCTGTTCTTCATTACCCCACCCCACAGCGGAAAAAGACTATGCTTTATACGAGGTAGGGGCTGGGTGCGAGGTGGCCGAACTGATACCTGGGATAGATCTTCTGTCCGACGCTTTTAGAAGTAATGGACGGTCAGTTCTGGCCGCGATTAGATGGATCACAGAGGAACTGGCTCGAGCAAGATACCTCATAACGGTAAGAGAGCTATTGCAGAAAAATTATTTCCTTAAAACAGGAGCCGCAGTGGTCTTATCCGAAGTTGTTATTACGCTTTGCTTTGGAGCGAGAGGTTTGGGCTCGAATTCTGAACCGGTTACTGTGGGGAGGGGAGGTGGAGTTGTAACTTGCCATCGACTACCAACCTATCTTGAAGGTGCGCCGATATTCCTAATTATCCCAAGTTACAGCTTACAATTACTGTAAGGAAACTGGGATAAGCTCTAATAGCTATTCGAGTCGTTCTCTTTCGCTTTCAAACAAATGCTGTTTACTTTCTTTGAAGTGTTTCGATATATTAATTGAATGTTGTTTTGCTTCTATTTTTCGCCAGGTTCTTCCATTGATCACACTGTGTTTGTACTTCTCCACACATGTGGCACGTGACCTGCAACGATCTGTGGATATAAGAATTCTCAGGGTGAGAACCTGCCTTTTGTTACTCGTGTGAGGAGTCTTGGAATTATGAATAACTAAAAGGACTGTTTAAAGCACCAATTATCACTTTTTTTACCGAGATGGAATCGGATGGTATGGCTTGTCATTTGTTTACCTAAGGAATGAAGGACAGTGTAGATTATTACTAAGAAGCGTGGTACTTTTTTAACTATTTAAGAACGACCCTTCCTACTGATTGGATGCGCTTTATTCGAGGGCGGCGTTGATTTATCGTTTTGCGTCTATCTGCGGCGTTCATTCGACGAAGGCGTTTGATGGAGTGAATATGAAAGGCGTAGATAGAAAACAGGGCTTGAAGTCCTACTCAAGTTGAAAGCCGCGATGAAGTGATATAGTCTCCACACCGCTGTCGCTACGGTTCTCTCTATTGAGGTTCTGAGATTCTAAAGCATAACTTTTATCTTTGCATTCAGGTCCGTGTCCTCACCGATCTTGAGATGTTCTCAGAAGCAGCAAGAGTTTTGACGTCTTTACTTCGTGGAGAAAAACTTCCTAAAGTTTCTGACGGCGGTTTTAGAACAGTAGAAAACAAAACGGTATTTCCTTGTTGTCTGCAAGATAACTTTGTCAGTTTGCCATTGTATTTACGTTCTTTGGTCAACTGAATCGTTTGCGATGCTATTTCGTTTTGCTTTTGTTCACGTCATATATGCAGTGCATTGTTTGAACGTGGAACATTTGATTCTCCGCAGAAACCTCCGCCAGTTTTCAATAACAAGGAGTCTGTTATGAGTGCGGGCAACTTAGCAGTAAGTGACTTGTTATGGCATCCTTTTTTTTTACTCAAAGATATCACTGTAAGGTATCCTTTTCTTTCACAAGAGCATAAAGTTGCTTCTTACATGTAATGTGACTGGTCAGAAGAGACTTGAATGGAAATCAATGATCGTAACTTTTTCCTTGACTTGAGTTAGTTGTGTTTTTTTTTCGATGGTTCCTTCGCCGGGCGAAAACCATCGCAATGAATTTTGCCAAATCTGGTACCATAATAGAAGTCAGCCTTAACCCTTTACTCCCTAACATCAGTATGCATATTCTCCATACTGTTCTCCATACATTTCCAAAGAGGCTGACAAGGAGAATTTGTTTATCAATCAAGAGCTGCTTTAGTTGTTGATCATCTCCTCTATTCTCATGACCTCCATGTTTGATTCAGGGGGGACACAGTAAGGAGAAATTAGTTGCTAGTCAGTCTTAGGGGCTAAAGGGTGAAGGATCTTCTTTCTTCCATGTGCATCATTCTGATGACGCATCGTGTGAGATTCCCACGATTGCCAATGAGAAAGATTATAGACTGTTAATGATTTATTACTTGACATCTAAAGAACTTAAAACTCAATTGACCGACTACGAACTGGCTAATTTAAAGAGTGACTGATCAACCAACCGACTGACTGTCTGACGTACAGACCGACTGATAGTCTGGCTCGCTGAGTAAATGGCTGATCATAGACGGACGTACAGCGTGACTGATCAACTGACTGACTGACAGACTGACCGTCAGCCGATTGCTGCAGTCAATTTGATTATCAATCTAGTTACATTTTTTTATTGCATTTCCAGGTTTTGAACTACTTGCTGGACCACCGTCTGCAACCGTCCTTGCTAGCACTTTACGGTCCACAACTGACTGGACAGCTCACAATTGCCCATGCGCATCTGATGATCGCCATCGCGGCTACAGTTTATGCCATACCAGCAGACTGCCACCAAGAGTATGTACTTATTTACAACTAGCACGTTGACACTTGACGTTTAACTGGTGTCTGAGCCGTGGAGCGTTGCAAAATTGAGTGTTCTAACTTCTAAGTAAATTGAACGCCCATTCAAAGAGAAGAATACTTATATGCATTATGGATAGCGGTACCTCCCTTAAAGGTTTCCCGCAAGAATTTCAGCCATGTTATTTAATTCTTTCAGACTTACCCGTTATCTGGAGGCTAAGGAAGAAGAGGAAGCTGCATTGCTCGAGTTACCAGTTCCCCCTCTACCGTCCCAGTCTCCAACTGGAAAGAAAAACCCCAAGAAAAAGTCCAGCGGTAAGACGGAAAAAAGTCGAGAGAAGAGGCCTCAAAACCGGCGAGACATTACACAGACTAGATTTACACCTCTATCAAAATAGCAATCTCCCTATCACTGCCTCTACTCCACCCCTGTGAGGAGCTTGTTAGCCCTTGAGGAATCCAGTTTGTTGGTTTGTGCCTCTCAGCTGGTATGAATACGCCCAATTCCCTCCTTCAAATCGCGCAGCACATAATGTTTCGATCTAAAGCATTTACTAAACTTTAGATTTTTCTTCCATTTTTCCAGATGAAGTTATAAGTCTTAAGAGCAGTCAAGTCGCTCAAAGACGAAAGCTAATTGATCCAGCGACCATTACCCCAGAACTGATTAAGGTAAAACGCATTCCTACTCGCCGTTTTATTGCAATTCAAACATACTGCACGATAAGAAATAATTTGCTTTTTGCTCTGTTGTAACACTAATGGAATATCGGTTTCTTCTAAGTTGCTGATGTTCATGCTTGTTTTACAGGGTTTCTTGTTGGCCACAGCAGAATTAATATTGACAAATTTGTGTGACTCCCTGTCAGACGCTCCAGACCAAGCCAGTTTTGAAGATGAGCGTAAGTAACTTCGGAGTTTTCAGCTTTGATTTTCTGTTTGTTGACATAATCTGGTTCCAAAACGATTTCGAAGCATCAGTCAGCAACAGTGCGCAATTTGTACAGACTTGCTGAAACTGAGATATAAATATCACTTCTCTTCACTGTATGACATACATTTATCATAATCTTCGCGCTGAGAATTTAGTGTTCCATCAAACGATATCCTTTGACTGATGCTTATCTTTGTTCTCATTACGTCTCTTCTCGACAATATATTGACATTGTGAGGAGAAATTACTCATTGGTCACTCCTGGTAGCGAAAGGGTTAAAGGAGGTTCAGTGCAGTTTCTACGTCTTGAAAAATCGCAGCGAGTTTCTTCAATTTTGTCATGCGCAATTTGTCTAAATGCTCTATAGTCTCAACTAGCCTTGTTTTCCTTTGTTTTTTCCCTTCGAATGGCGTTGCCTTCTCTAGCGAATCTTTTATTTCAGACCAAGGAAACAACTTGAAAGACTTTTTTCTTTTCTTTGACAGCTCTAAGTATGTCTTCTGTGGATCTGGAACAGGTTTGCCTCTCTCGACTTGAGCTGGCGGAAATTGCCAGTCAGCGACATCATGCACTAACCAGTGGTAACATTGTGTATGCGTGCATGAGAGCATTGGAAGATGCTGCGATTTTGAATGAGCTGGACTTAGAGAAACGGTAAGCGGAAAACATGTCATCACCGAGAATTTAACCCCTTACTTTCTTAGATCGGGGGTCTGATCCGTGAAAGTTGTGGTAACTCTACGAACTTGAAGCCTGTTGTAAAGCTGGATCAAACGAACAGAAGAGTGGGGCTTGAAACATTCTGTTTTGTTTCCCTTGTAACAGAATTTTCTATGGTACAGATACAAAGGCTTTGTTAATTTTACCCTTATTTATATCTCGATCTTGAGTGTGAACACCGATAACCACTGAGACTTAGAAAAACAAGTTCATTATGTTCATAAATTAGATATAAGAATTACGTTTTAACCTTTTGCATCTTAACAACAGAATGCACATTCTCTATACTTTTTTCTCTATAGGGTTCAAGGGCTAAATCGAGAGAACACCCTTTTGTTTTAACCCTTTTTTTTCCTTATCACCTATTTGCCGTATGATGTATTGACACTGTAAGGAGGCATTACATAATTGTGACTTCAAGAAGTTGAATTGTTTCTATTTCGTTGCAGTGCTCCTTCCCTCATGTCTAGCCAGGTCCGATCCGCGCATAGTACCGTCTCAGGGTGGGGTGGGGACCATTATTTCCATAACCAAGCACGTTCAAGATTGGATGCTAGGCTGTGGCTCACCTGTAGACTGACCCTGGCTCATGGACTCGCAGAAGAGGACAGTGGAATGGGGAAATTAGGGGGCTCGACAAGAAGTGTTACCAGCTCTATTGGAACATGCTTGCATCATTGTCGACAAGGTAACGTGGGGTTTGTTTTGAAGTTTTAAGAGTGGTGTGTTAGGTTTAGCTTTTCTTAGGTAGTCATTCACTTTTATTTGCAGTGTTGACATCTCCAATCGCTTTAAAGGAACTATTGCCATCATTGATTATCTGTCTTTACAAGTTTAGGGTTATCTTTGAAGTTTTTTGACATGAAAGTGTTCTTGATCAATAGCCATCAGGCGAAATTTCTTTTACAAATCCAGATAACCAAACCTGGTGACAAGTGATACGAGAATATTATATCATACGAAGCAAAAGGAGCCCATTGCCAGGAGGATCTCAACCTTGTTTTTTTATTTTATGAAGCGACCTGGAGTATTCTACTTTCCCCCTTTCGCAATTTTTATGGCATCATTGACCAGAATATCTCTTTTCAATATCCATAACAGGTTTGGACGAAGCAGAAGCATTTGGTGACATAGAACTTATGGCTGAATTCTCCTTGTTGAGTGTGGTCCAGAATTTACAACAAGGAAAAATGGGGCCTGACTTGCTGGAAACGCTAGAGGTAGAACAAATAAAACTTAAGAACTTTTACATAAACGGTGAATAATTCGTGTTTGACCGTAGGCAAGGAAAATGATTTCGCACTTCACATTTTTTTCATTTAACTACAAAATAAAAAAATAAGGTGACCCGCAGTTAACAGATTTGCCAATCGAGGCAGATCAATCAACTGATCACTGAAGACTTGATTACTACTTGATTATTACATAGATGAAGAGGTTAAAGACTAGAAATTAAGGAATTTAAAGAACAACTGCAAATAAAAACCAATCAATCAATAAATAAATAAGTAGCGTACAAGAAGGTGGTTACATGAGGATGGTAAGAAACAGACAATTTGATCAATTCGATTTCATTTTACAGTCTTTGAACTTGAAATAATTTTTTCAGCAGTGAGATAGGAATCTTCATTTTCCAGACTATCCAATAAAGATTTCTTCGTTTCTTTTTCAACATTTGTACCAGCTCTAGAGCTGTTTTTTTGTTCCCTTTGCAGAAAGTCGTTCTCAGTCTGGAGCAGAGTCCTGCTTTGTCCTTCTCAGGAAAACAGTTATTGGCTCTGACGATCATTCAGCACGCTGATATCAGACCTTCGGGTCACATATCTTCCACCATGTCGTATCTTAACGACCCTCTGTCAGCGTACACAAGAGCTATGACTTATTTACTTGAGCAGGTAATGATCAGTGATTCAAGGAAAAGAGTTTAAGTGGAAAATTTGTCCGAGTACAAAGTCTCTTAACCCCTTAACCCTTAAGAGTGACTAGCATCTAATTTCTCCTTACAATATCACACCCGAAGCAAACATTTAAGTCATGAGAAAAAAGAAATAATCACCGGATGAAGAAGCTCGATCTTGATTGTTCGACAAATTCTCCTTGTCAGCGCCTTAGAGAATGTATGGAGAACAGTATGGAGAATATACATACTGATGTTCCTCTGGATTGGGTGCCATTCCGTCACAAGTGAGATTTCTCTGACAACTCGATAGTATCCTGGGTAGAGAAATGATGTAATTAAGAAAAGTGCCTTGCCGAAGAATTCATCGCTATTTTTGCTTTCACACATCACAACTATTTACAGTTCTTGCTCGAAATCTGTTAACCCCGTCACTTGTAAGATCTCATCAGTGATTCTCCTTACTGTCTTCCATAGAGTTCATATTTTGTGATTTTGGAGAATTTGGTATTGGATAAACCTATAATCCCCTACTTGATATTTTTCTTTATTCTCATCACTTGTCTGCTTGATATTGTATTGATGTTGTAAAGAGAAATTCTGTCTTGGTCACTTATGGGAGGTAAAGGGTTCAAGACTCTCAAAACTCAAAAGTCAGATTTTTGCCGCAGGGTGCATATTGATAGAACCATTTTTGGATCGAATGAATGAAATTTCAAGAAAATGTTAAAAATGTCCGCAGTTTTATAAAAGAACAGATTGAAGAAAAGACATTTGACTTTATTTCATCGCAATTGATGCCATTTTGTTTCATTTTTATAGACATTTTCATTCACGTTATTTTTCTCTTTTGGTTCTTAATAGTTGACCCAGTCTGGAAGCGATGTAAATCTGGTGGAGACATCTCCTGTTAGGCCTCTACATAACATCTATTTCCGACAGCTTCTCCCTCTGATTGACCTTAAACTTCGTATCGGTCGAACTCTCACCAAACAAACCCACCTGTCTGAACATGATCGGGACTCGAACGTCATTCCAGCCGAGTGGCAGACTGCAGTCAGAGAACTGGAACTAGGACTTGAACTGGCGAGAACCGCTGCTTGTCAGCGGAAACCTATTGAAGCGCAGCTGTTGTTGACTCTTGGTAAGTGTGCCCTTACCTTTTAATCTTTGACTTTAAGTATTTACGTAGTAATCCTCATTACACTCTTGTTTATGATACTTTTTGCACTTGTTTCGACCAGGTCAAGTTCAAAGGCAGATGCTTCCGAGTGGTCAGATATCTCCCCGTACGGTAGTTAACACACTGGTGGAAGCTGTACAGTGCACCTTTATTTCTGATCACGATCTTGGGTAAGTGTGCCCCTCCCTTGGACCACTCCCTGTCTCTCCTTTGCTGTCCCGGATGTATCTGGCAGAAAATCTTAGATTTAAAAAAACTTCCTTTTCATCCTCCCTTGCTTTCATGCAATTGTGTTTCATTAGTTTAATCTCCTCTTACTGTGGTGTTTTTTATCTCTTCAGTTTAATGAAGCACGCCTATCTGGAGATGGCGCTGGTCCTCATCAGTAACGCCAACACTCTCAAGCCTCCTAAGACACCCGAGCAGCCGCCCAGACCTGCAGAGTCCCCTACCTTAGGCGCTAAGGAAGGAGGCCGGAAGATCAGCAAGAAAGGAAGCGCCAAGGAGAAGGGAAGGAAGGAGAAAGAGACGCGGGAAAAGAACAAGGAACTGGACCAGGAAATGAGGACAGCTTGGGCTGCTATTCGTGCTGCGGGGGTGGTGTCTTCTGCTCAATACAAGATCGGGATTCTCACAGGAGATCCTGAAATCACCGCATTGAAACTCTCGGAGAAAGCTGCCAACTCAGTTCCAGGTCTCGCGCTGTTCGACCTGTTGGGTACCGATGACGTCATTAAAAATTCGGAGAATGGTGCGTTGCTTGCTCAGGATGGAATTGTCACCATGGGAACCACTATTAACAATTCCAACCGTGTACAAATCACCTGGCTTCATCTCCTCGGGTATCTTTCCGTGCTTCGCCGTCAGTGTTCGTACGCTGCCCTCGGCGTGCATTCGGAGGACGGAGAATTATCCTCAAGGGGCAGCACATCGGTCTTACCTTTGTTCAGCGCAAACAAAGCTTTGAAGCTCTCCAACATGCATTCGTTCCTAAGGAGCGAGCTGGGGCCGTATGCTGCAGAGTGCTGTGGGGTATCTCCCCCAGAGGTCTTGGTGAATTACGGACATGCAAACGGACCCCAGGTGACGGTGACCCAGCCTTTACAGACTGACCTAGCAGGAGATAATTCAAAGAAAGCTGGTATGTTATTTGGGTTTTTGTATTGTGAGAAGCTTAATGTCACAGAGACTTTGGTCTTTCTAAGGGACCCCTCATTATTTATTGTCTAGAGGAGGGCTAGAGGGTTTGGTTGAGTCACGATAATATTTAACTGATGGCTCTGTAATATTTTACCACCCCTCCCTCTTTAGTAGTTAATTTGCAGTCGATTTGATTTAGTCCCCTCTTTATAAACTGTTGGTGACGACTGATCTTCCAACGGTCCCCTCCTGAAAACCATGTAATTACCCCCCAAAAAAATATCCTCCACCCTCCCCTTCCCAGGCGATAAACGATTGCTGATCTAATGGTAGGCTACTATATGCTTGTTTTCGTCATATTCTTACTGTTTTCAACCGTAATTACTGTTTGATTTTCTTAGATCTTATAGACAAGTCTACCAAAGCTAGTGACTTTGAGATGTGTATCCAATGGTTTCAACCAGAGCTTGACTGTGTGTTTGTCCAAGATCCAGCGGACTCCCAGTCAGAGCGCCACAGAGCAGTTTGTGTCTTGTACGCCTTTAACAATAAAGCTCTTGATCTTTCGGCGAACCCACTCGTCGGTCAAGTCAAGGCCGGGCTTTATCACGTGATAGAGTCTCGTGCTCAGGCCCTCCACGAAAAGCTTATGGCCACGTTGGAAAAAGCCGAGAACGACCTGGCACCCGTGCAGAGCTCTCAAACGGGACCTGGAAATCCTGAACAAAATAAGGGTAAACGATTTTTATGAGAAGAATAAAATATTTTATCAATACGTAGTGAAAGTAAAAGTAACTACGTAAATTGCATTGATAACCCGAAGATTAAGAAGATTAGAAAGGTGCCTCATGGCTTGAAATGCTTTGATGCCCGAATGCTGTCCGACTAGTAACCACCCTTTCAATATCTCTCAGAAATTTTCGAGAATCAAACAGCTGTTTTCCGTCGTGCGACTTACTCTTTCAAAGGAAAGCGATCGACATATCAAATCTCCCTTCTGGTTCCACACATTTCTTTTGAAATCAGTCATGAGAACTTGGATTCATGCCTTATATCATGACCTATCAGTTAATAGTTATATTTCTCCTCACTCAAGTTCATAATTTTAGGAGAACACGTGTTGATGAATTTTAAATTATGTGTTTACCTCTTAGGCCGTCCGTCTAAAACGGATCCTGCGCAATTGATGGTACCTGGAAATTTGGAACAGAAACCCTCTGGGACTGGGGTTACATCGCGTAAAAAGAAGAGCATGGGAATAAGGGCTCTCTCAGCTAAGCAAAGAAAGGACGATCACATAAGGGCCCTGCTGAGAGAGCATCTGAGTGAAATACGAGCCTTGTTACAACGTGAAGTGCCAGTTCCAGTTGAGGTGAACACGTGATCATTTTTGTCATTATAACATGGGAGGGGATGTAAGTTTGGTTTCACGAAGACCCAGGGTACCATTAAGAACAGTAGAAAAATACTCGACTTTCTGCAACAATTGTGTAGCTATTCGTTAATCGTCGGCCATTCTTTCTTTTCTGTTACTCATGTGGATGTTTTTTTGTTACAGGAAGTACCATTTGAAGTCAATCTCCAGAACGTGGATTGTCTCGAAGCCATGTTTGACCCAAGTCGCGGGAACCTTTCCAAAACAACACAGGCATTTTATACTTGGCTTTCATCCCTTCTGGAAAATTAAATTTTGGAATTTTTGTTTAAGTTTGTCCAGGCAGGCGGAAAAAACGTTGACAAACATTTTTTTCTTGAAACTTTTAGCGAGGATTTAGAAAAGGAATGAAAAAGCCATCATACAGTGGAGTGTTCGTGCGGTATATTTATCTTGTTTCACAGATTTAAATTGTTGTATATTCACTTGGACTGCATAATGGAGCTGTATTTTAACATGGCGTTTGATATTTATTGCATTCCTGATAAAATAAAGATTATTTTCACAGTGAAGTGTCCATATAATCTTTTCCGTAAATAATTTATTTAATTACTTAGGCTCGGCACAAATTATAAATCTTTGAAAAACCTGTATTGGTTCGATTTTAAATATGAATGTCTCAGTTCAAACAAAGAAATGCAAATTTAGATAGTTTTCATTTCAGCTGGGTGATATTTTAGAAGAAATTAATCACCCGCATTTTTTTTTAAATTCCCTGATAAAGCACATCTTTGCTCTTCAGCCTCTCGCTCTGACCTCATGAGCAGAGAAAAAGGCCTTGGGAACGTAAAACTCATATGAATTACAAATGACTTTTCAAGTTAATATTCATATTTGCGAGAGTTCTTGCACGTGGAACAAGCTTTGGGAAGACAAGAGACTAAAGCGGTTTCATCGGCTACTCAGCGGCCGGGAAACTCGTCAATTCAATCCTATTACCTAGGAAAACGTCTATAAAGTCAAGACTGGCGTGTGTCTATTCGAAGGTGCCAAATCGAGTGGTTTAAATTCGACTTCACGATAGCGCATTTTGATGGGAATCTTCTCAAGGTGAATGACCCTCGTCTTAATTCAATTTAAAAGACTTTTGCAGTGTTTGTGTTTTCGTTGTTACCCTTGAAAATCAAATTTTATACTTAAATGGAAAAGACGTGGTATATTATTAACACAGTGCAATGTATAAAATATTGTCATCGGTAATCGGCGCCATGACAGTTCTTTATGCACCACGTGACCTTTACAGGGCAGCAACGTAAAACTTGTATTTTTCGCATGCGTAAATGATCGCTTTTTACTCATTAATTCTGTAAATTTATTTACTTCGTTTAAAGTTATGTATAGAGTAATCAATACTAGTAGCATTTTAGCTAGAGAAATGGCAATGTTCTTTTCAGTTCACCCATATACAGAGTGTAAACTTCATCTAGAATCTCATGTCACTAGTGTGGCTGAATGTAATGATATTTCAAAGGTATTACACTTGTATTGCTTTCATGACTTATTTCGTGATGATTTTGATCTCTCTGTCATGGAAGACCGAATCAAGATTTCCTTTGTCACTTTGAACATCGAGTTTCATTTATAGAGAGTGATTTCCTTTGAAGAGGTTTGAAATCACTCTTATTTCATTGCCTTTTCTCTTTACAAAACAGCATCAAGCATAGAATGAAAAAATTTGGAACTCTGAAGGACAGTATTAACCGCAGAATGGGTACATCTCAAATTCAAAAAAATCAGAGGAAGAAAGGAAAACGGGATGACTTCTGTTAAGGTTAGTTCAAGTTATTTTAGTTTTTGCGATTACTAAACTATCTGCCCTTGTAAAGCTTAAAATCTGGATTTGTGCATTCGTATATAGGCTGAGTCAAATGAGAAGGAAAACTATCTGATCGAGATGTTTTAAATAGTCTACAACAATGTTGTTTACGTGAATCATTACCATCATTTTGCATTTTGATAAAAAAATACAAATTTTAGAAGAATATACCACATGTTATGACCTTCCACATGAGGTATCTTCCTGTTCTTCCTTCAGTTCTTCCTGTTTAAGACTCTTTTAATTCTGATACAGAGAGCTGATGAACAAGTTGATCATAAGAGATGCTGGAAAAAATTTCAAGGCGTTTATTTGATTAAAAAAAACTTTCCACCATCGACTGATTAAAAAAATAGAAAGGAATAGAAACTTTTCGCTCTTTTGATGACTGTTTCAGTTCTTAAGTTTCTAAATAGTATTATTCCAACAAACGATATTCGTCGGATTGTTTCTAAGTTCATTTAAAACTTAGCTTCTGATGCATTTACAGACTTGGTTATTATTCCTACTTTCTGAATTAAAATTCTTTACATTCAACAAACATCTTAAAACATGATTGTTCACCATATTAGCTTTTGAGGCAAATCCTATGCTCAAAAAAATATGCCCAAAAAATGTTAATTTTCTTGAATTTCCATATCGTTCAAAATAAGGACTTTCGAATGTAATTTATTCCCTAAAACTCTCGAATACCTAAAATTTTAATAAGCTCCACAAATTTACGTATCGTCATCTTTTTTTATATATATATTTCTTTTTACATCTCTGCTAAGTGAGAATCCTAAACAATTTTTCACAAAATTGGACCTTTTTTAATCAATTCAATAGAGAAAACACTTGGGAGGCTGATTGTTAAGTTTTGAAGTGCAAAATAAAACAGACAAAAAATGCAAGCGAAAATTAAAAGACTTTATTTACTTTCAAATTTATTTCTTATGCTTGAAAAATGAATATTTAGCCTTATGAAGTTTTTTGCTTAATTCGAAGAAATGCTGTGGAAATAAATTTTTTCAATGTTCTTGCATTCAAAGCAAAAACTAAATTAAAAGGTTATTCCGATAAAGTTGTTATTGGTGGCAGAAATAATTTTAAATCTCAGAAAGGTTTTTAATCAAGTTTTAACGAGACTTGACCTCTGATGAAATTATTGAAGATTACATTTCTGTGAATCTGTTAGTTTGGTAATTTTGTTTCCATCTTGCACGAGTTTATTTCGTGTTTATCAATGTCTTTTTCTTTCTTGTTTTTTAAACTGGCAACTAAAAAGATTTCCGATCCTAAAAAAAATTGTGAAGAAATCAAAGTGAAAAAGATTTTTTTGATATAAAAGTAAAAAAAATTGATAGAAATTTTTAAAACAATTTGGTTGGTCAGAAGTAGTTTTTCATAAGAGCGGAGAAACTGTGAACTTCATCATACCATCTTAACCCTTTCACTCCTAAGATCTCATCCGTAATTCTCCTTACTGTCTGCCATACAATTTTAATGATGTTAGTTCTGAGAATTTGGTATTGGATCAACTAATGGTCCCTTAATTGATATTTTTGTTTATTCTCATCATTCGTCTGTTTGATATCGTGCCGATATAGTAAGGAGAAATTCTATTTTGGTCACTCATGGGAGCAAAAGGCCCAGGGCTTATCCAAATTTCGACAAATCGATATCATACAGGTCTTGTTCTCTAGCAGTGATAGACACAAATCATTTCTAGTATTAAAACAAAAGAATCCAAAATCGATTCACAAATTTCTAAAAGGAACCAATTCCTTAAACGAATAGATTACTTGATGTCATGTTAAGGACTTTTTCAAATATTAATTTTACATGATTCGTAAACGTCCCCACTGGAACCTTTGAACCAAAACAATTCTTTAAAGCTAGAGAATGATCTTAAAAATGATGTTTTAGAAGGAAGACAGAATTCAGCTTTCCATTCTCGGAAAACATCACTAAGGGAGTTGATTTTTTTATTGTTATTCAAAATTGAACATAATTTTCACTTACCGCGATTTCTTTTTAATTTGTGCGAGGAGATGCTTCTTGGATTTTTCAACCTTTTTACTCGTAGAAAAGATAGCCAAGAGCTCAATATTTCTTCATGTTAAAAATTCCTGCAGACTCCGAAAACCAATAGGAATTACTTTCCAAAAGTTGCAGCCAATAATTAATTATATATGATCACATCATTTTGATTCCGTCATGCCCTAGAGGGTTTGTTGACGAAGGTTGAGATTAATTGCCGATTGTTGCTTCATTTCAACGAGAACCTGTTTGCTCAGAGTTGCATAGCTTAGTAGGAAACAGCATAAAGTGTAACATCAAATTCATTTCGAAAGTTTATGAGAATATTGATCAGCGATCATATTGAATTTACGCACAAATCCAGGTTATGTTTATTGTTTCGTTCACTTATTTAGGCGAGTAAACTCTGCAGAGTTAAAATATTGAAATTTATTATTCCACTTCTATGTAATTTTATCATACTAGGGCAATGGAACGCGCAAAATATGCCACGGTATTATGCTGTAGAGCAGGGCGAAAACACGGACGGAAAACGGAACAACAAAATGGACTCTCAGAACAATTTAAATTGAGTGGTTTTTCCCGTTTCTTGGCTTCGCTTTTTCAATAACAAAGTTTAAAGCGCTTTTTTTTCCGTTGGCTATAATAATGGTTTCGTTGACGTTATTTTCGTCTTTCGCGCAGGCCTAAGCAATCGATATGTAAGAAGTTTAGATGAGGCCGTAGGATGTATTTCGAAAACTGAACGACAAAACATTAGAAATAAGTGGAATAATAAATCCCTTATTTGATGGTTTAACGTTTAATATGAACGGATATTTTGCTCATCACTCATATTTTTTTTCCTGCAGCTCACTAGTTATCTGCAACTACTATATGCTATAAGATCCATTGCCTCTGTTGATTTACTGTTTATTTTCTTTTTCTTGCAGACTGACTGGTAAATATCGCTGATGCTTTAATCACGAATTAAACAACTTGAAGACTTATTTACAGGCGAAAGGAAAGATTTACTCAGAGGTACAAAACAGATAAAGTGTTTTTCTCTCAAGAATATGAAAGGTCAGATCTGAGATCCATTTGACAAACTCGAGGACTTGATACCAAACGAAAGCACGTAATATTTCGCAGATTTTTTTATTTTTTTTGTCAGCTTAGCTCGCGTTATGGATTTTAAACGTTTTAAACTTAGAAAAATACGAGCGCTTATAATACGCATATTTCGTTATCTTTTCTGTAAGTAACATCTGTTCAAATGTGGCGAATTTTCCCGCCAAAAGACTTAGAAAAATACGGCGCCTAAAATACGCATGCGCCAAATTTTTTTAAAAAATATATTTGCGCAGGTCATATCTCTGTTGTCAATAAACTTAATATCTATCAACTTGTTGTCCTCTTGTGATATCACTATTTATTTACTAATGAAAAGTCAGTAAAACTATTGTCTTGCAATAAACACTCAATAAACATCTCGAGTTTCATTTCACATTTTATTTGTTTCAATTCTCTTTGATAAGTCATTTTCAATAAAAACTTGCTCAGAAAAAATTTTGTATATATACTAAGACTTTTGGCGGGAAAATCTGGACGAATTTGCACAGAGTTTCCCCTGGCAACTTTTTCGGCAAAAATTTTAACAACGCATCCTTTA